AGGTCTGCCCACGTCCAAGAAGTGACCCTTTGCCTGCCTTTATTGGCGTTCCAGGCTGCGGGCGCTGGGATCCCACCCGGCCCCAGCCGCTTCCGGGGCGCGCGGCGCGAGCGCAGCCAAAGACCTGGCGTCACAGCAGCCAGCGGCCAGCGAGGCCAGGGGGACTTCAGTTCGAGCCTCGCGGATGCCTCGCCACGAGGGGCTTGGGTCCCCGGCCCGCAGACGGGTGAGTCGTGCGGGAACCGAAAGGCAGCTGCAGAGTTGAGGGAGGTGGGGACGGCAGGACAGCGGAGGACGAGGGGACGCGTGAGAACAGCGAGGAGACTGGGGCAGGGACCAAGTCTGCCGGACGCTAAGAAATGGGGAAAGGAGGCTTCTCCAGACCCCGCGCAGCAGAGAAACTTCAGGAAGCGCGTCGGAGGCGGGGCATCTGCCGAGAACTGGGACTTTGGCTGCCCGCTAAAAGAATCCGGGAGGGACAGGTTAGCAACGGAGAAACTCGCAGTACTCTGGAGAGAAGATAGCTCCGTGAGGAAAGCAGTTTAACTGAATATGGGCGCTTAGGAGGTGAAACAAACTAAAACAAAACAAAAGCAATTTCTCCTGCCTTTGGCCCTGGAATCCAGGCATCCCAGCACCCTGGGGGCCGCCTGGAGTCCCTTCCAGCGCTGCCCAGGGACCATCCAGGCCTCTCAGGCCATTTAGATCTCTTCAGGAGGGGACCCCGCTGGCCCTCGGGACAGGGGCGCTGGGGATCTTTCACCTCCCAGCATTTCTGCCCCTTGCTCCCTTGCCAGGGAAGCGCTTCAGCTATGAGCGCGCATTTGGAAACCTAGGAATACCGATGCATGCGAAATCCAAGTGAACATCCTCACAGGAGGCTTGGGCTGTAATTGAAGCTGGATACAAAACCACGTTGCATCTGAACTTAGATTTTGCACGGTTTATAACGACGTTATTTCAGATTTCAATAAAGAAAAAGAAGAAGACCAAGGAGGGGTAGAAGGAGGAGAGAGAGAAGAGAAGAAAGAGAAAGAGGAAATTGTAAAGCTATACTTCTCCCTCTTTTTTTGTTTCGTGTTGTCTCTCCCTCCAGGCACACGCCAGGAAATCCTGGAGCAGAGGATCATGGGTTATGAGTAAATACATTGACACATTGAAACCATTTGCATTTTAAATGTTTCTTCATTAAACAGAACACATGTAATATGTGGGTGTTAATCTTAAATTGCACCTCAAAATTACACACACCAAAATGGTAGCTATTTATCCATAAACTCTTGAAAACTCTATAGAAAACCAAAGTAATAAAACAATGAGAAATGGTACACGCGGCGTAAGTTTTATTGAAATGCCCTTGTATCGTTTTCCTTGATTCCCGAATAAAACCGGTGCTGAAGAGGCAGGTCGCGACAGGAGCAGGGGCTTAACGCTGCTCGTCAGTGGCGCTGGGGCAGCGCCGGGGCCACTGCGGCTGAGCCAAGGCGGGCAGTCGCGGGCCACAGCGCCCCCTCGCCGCCCGCCGCGAGACTCCGGAACCACGTCGCCGCCTCCTCTGCCTCCCGCAGAGCCCCAGGATTCCACAGGGTCTGGCCAGGGCTTGGGCCTACGAAGCCCTTAGCGTTCCCCCGAAGACCCTTAAACCCGGGGCTTCGTATCCGGCCCTTCTTAGCGCTTGGCCTCGCATGGAAAACTGGCTCGCTGAAACGTGGACATCCACACCGACGTGTCCAAAATGCCTTGATCACTGTAGAGACAGACGAGAAACAGAAACATGATCCAGTTAACCCCCCCCCCCCCCCAAGTTTTAGTGCACACTCGAGGAAAGAGGGAGGATCCACAGCAAAATGAAACTACTCATTGTTGGGTGATTGCTCCGAGAACTAGATCCTGCATTCTGGGTTGCTATTCCTTTCCCTGCAGTGCCTGGCCATTTTCATCCATTCCAGCTGAGAAGGCCAGAAAGGCGGCCAGAGCCAAGTGCCCGCTCATCTACAGGCGACCTCACTCACATGTCTGAACAGGACTCTCCGCCCGAGTGCAGTTTCCAGGGCGGTTTTGTGGAGGGGTGGCTAGAAGGCCCTGGAGGAATCCCTCTGCTCCCCTGCTCCCCTGGTGGCCTCCGATCTCCAGGGACCTGTCCTGCCAGGAAGGGCCGACAGATAGCAAGGGACACAGCACCCAGCCTGGGCACTTGCAGCATTTTACTCATTGATGTTTTGTTTGTTTTAAAGAAGCCTAAGTCAACTTTAACCTAGAAGCGGGAAAGTGATTTTTCAAAATCAGGGAGCTTTATTCCAAACAGTTTATATATCCTAATAACAATGAGGAGGTAAGTGTTAATGTCCCTGCGTAGGCATTTTAATTTGCTACAGTCACCACCAATAAAAATGGCATGTAGTATGATTCGACTGTTTAATAGTGCGAGGTAGACAGTTTTTATTAGTAACAGGCAGCAGTATGGAAAATTTAGATTTCAGTGGAGGAGCATAATTGCTGGGGGGAAATACACAGGAAGGAAAGCAGCCTTGTCAAGAGCAGCAGCATCGAGCCAGAGGGGAAGGTAAGCAGGCTTCCGGGATGTGCTCTGGTAAGAGGAGACCCTCCAAAGTCACGTGCACTTGTCTGGTTATATACTTAATTGATGTCAAAATCGAATCCTTCTACACATATGCTCCTGCTCCAAACTGGCTGTTTTCCCCCCCCCCCCCCCAGTAACTTGCTTTTTTCTCTTCTGCCTGTGGCAGAGGTCAGGTGTGTGTGGGGGGGGGGGGGGTCAAAAAAGGGGAGGGGGATGAGTCCTGAGGCTAATGAAAACACAGCAGGAAACCAGTCTTTAGAAACCTAGATACTCCAGGCAAGTCATCCCCAGTGATAAAAATTAGAATCATTTTTTTAACATAATCTGATTGGAAGCCAACCGGAATGGTTGCAATCTGATCTGTGGCTGTTTTTTATCCAACATGTGGGCATCTCATTTAGGGAGAAACTCCCTCCCAGGAAGACCAAAAATGTCATACATTCCTTGATGGCATGTCCGCCTGGCTGCCCTCCCTCCTGTAATAATTGATTGAAAGTATTTCCCTTGACCTGAATTAGGATGCCTCACTTGAGATCACAGCAATATTGAGGTGCGACTGCTGAGCCCTTGCCAAGCCTGGGGTGTGTGGAAGGGGGAGTGTGTGCCCCTGCACCAGCCTGTTAAGATGTGTGGAGAGAGGGGTGGGCATGTGGTTTGTAGGGGAGGGACAAAGTGGGGAATGGTGGGTGGAAAGACCGGTGGGGGACATATCTCTGGGGGCGCTGAGGAGAGGGGTGAAGACTCAGACTGCACCTACCAGGACAGACAGCTTGCCGCCGGCTGGTCCTGTCTAGCCCAACGCTGCAGTTTGCAGCTGGTTCCCTGGAACACAGGGAAAGACAACGCTGCTGTCTCAAGTGTCCTCATGCTTCCGGGACCAGGTTGGCAGCCAGGAACCCAAGCATCAGAGCTGTAGCCTCGACCCTCGACCCGGACCCGCAGAGCAGTAGGAGACAGCAGAGGCCGCTCCGCCAGCCCCAGAGCTTTCTGTGTGGGCAGCCCTATCGGCAGGCCTGCGCTCAGGCCCAGGACTCAGCCACCATACTCCTTCCCTCCACCGAAGTGGCTCCAAAGGAGGAGACACCTGTTGGTGGGCTCTCACGCCGGCAGCACAGCCGGCCCCTCTTGAAACTCCCTAGTGCCCCCCATTGGTAACCCCTAACCCCTCAGGCCTGGTCGGCAGACGCCCTCTTCTGCCAGTCCGGGTGAGGGAGGGGTGAAAGACTGTGACAGGGAAATAGGGATGGGGGTACTTCGGGTGCTGAATTCCCCAAGGCCATCGCTGACCGCCTAGCCTTCGGGCCCTCCAGGCACCTCCCTAAAGCCGCAGGCCACCAGGGCTACCTTGTCGCCAACTGCGCTGTGCCACCAGCTGGCTCCCATTTGTCCCTTCCTGAGATGGCAGTGAGGTTCGGCTTATGCCAGAGGCGGTTCATCCAGTATCGACTCCCCCAAATTCCAAAGAAGGCATCAACTTTTAAAACAAAACAAAATAAAACTCTTTTGGGGTGCGGCGTTTTCAGGGCGAAGTATTGGCGGCGCGTGCCCCGCGAATTCCCAGCGTGGAGGTCCCAACACGCCGGGCCCGGCGTCTCCGCGGACTTAGGACAGAAGGCTCACCTCTGTGCCCTCCGGGCATGTCCAAACCTAGGCGGTGATGGTGGCGCAGGAGCGTAGGGCAGACGGCCAGCAGCGAAGCCACACAGACGCCTCGGCCTTGAGGCAGTGCAGACCGCGGAGGTGGGAGTGAGAGCCGCACACGCCACCCCAGGGAGGACTGGGATTGCAGGTTCCCACATCCTGCCCTCCAGCTCCCAGCGGCTCTGGGCTGGACACTGCAGTCCGGTGTGCAGTCACCTGGGGCGCCTCTTCAGAGGTGGCCAGAGGTGCACGCGCCGTGAGTTCCCCAAGTAGAATCGGCCCGGCCCGACTGCGGGCGGTCTCTTGCCTAAACGGTGCGGGCCGATCGGGGTGGAGCAGCGGCTGGACGGGCCCGAGGGGGGGTGTAGAAGGTATCTTGGCCGAAGTGGGGGAGGCGGCTGGATCAGGGTGCCTGGAGGTGGCCGAGAATATGCGCGAGTGGGAGGGGGCGTGCGCCGAGGCGCGCAGCCCGGCCTGGAGACACTGCAGGGCCGCGGGCGGCCGGCTGGGGCCGGAGCTGCGAGAAGCGGCTGCGCCACAAAAGCCTGCGCGTCCCTCCCGCCCGTTCGCCTCCCTCTCCTCGGCCCTCCCCTCCTCTCTGCTCCCTGCCCCTCCCCCGGCCGAGGCCTGGAGGCTGGAGCGGGCGGAGCAGGGGAGGGGCGGGCACCCGAATATGCAGATGAGCGCGTGACGGACAGCTCCGCGTTCCAATGTCCCTCCGAAACTCGAGCGCTCCTTCCTCAACTCCTCACTCCCGACTCCAGACTCCCCCAAACCCCGACCGCCGGCCCGGCGCGCGGCTGCGCCCACCGGTTTCGCGCTGCCGCCGCCGCCGCCACTACCGCCCCGCGTTCCCCCGGCCCGCGGGCCGCCAGGCTAGTGCCCCGACCAGCCTGCCTCGGCCCGCGGCCCCGGTGTCCACCGCCGCGCCGCGCCGCGCCCGGGCCGGGTGTGGATGGAGGGCGCCGCGCGCCCTGCCCGCAGCTCGGCGTGACGCGGGCCGCGAGCCCCGCGCCCACCATGTCCTACCCGCAGGGCTACCTGTACCAAGCGCCCGGCTCGCTGGCGCTCTACTCCTGCCCGGCGTACGGTGCGTCCGCGCTGGCCGCGCCTCGCAGTGAGGAGCTGGCGCGCTCGGCGTCCGGCTCGGCGTTCAGCCCGTACCCGGGCTCGGCGGCCTTCACGGCGCAGGCGGCCACTGGCTTCGGCAGCCCGCTGCAGTACTCGGCCGACGCTGCCGCCGCCGCCGCCGCCGGCTTCCCGTCCTACATGGTAACCGCGCGCGGGTGGGGACTCGGGACACTGGGTTGGGGACCCTGACCGGGGCTGGGCTGAGTGGGGCGGAGGATCGGCTTGCAAGGGCGCCGGGAACGTGGCGCGGGCGGCGGCTCAGGAATCGGCGACTCGGGCCGCCGCACGGCAGGCAGAACAAGGGACCGGAGCGATAGGCAGAGCCGCCCGAGCGGGATAGGAAGCCGGTGGCGCTTCCCCTCGGCTCCCAGGATAATAGTCTTTAAGAGCCTGGAAGCGCGACTTCACCGGGGCCGGGTCTGTCTTGGGCTGTCCCTGGTTCACGCCTGCAGTCTACTGAAGGATCCGGAGCATGCCGGGGGCTCGCTCACATTGGCTTGGGGCGCGAGGGTCGGTGTAGTTGGGGCCTCCGCGGCGGCTGCGGGGCGATTCGTATTTAGTTGCCGGGCCTGGGGCAGCGGGGTCACAGAGTTGGAAGAGAACAGAGCGTCTGGCTGCGGTTCCAGCGCCCGGCCCGACGCGCCCTAATTTTGGCCTTAATCTGCCTCCCAGACCGTACTTTCGAAAAACGTGTTGGCCGGCATGGGACCCGCCAAGTGCTGTAGGAGTCCTCCGTGCACCGAGAGCGGCTCCTGCTTCCGCGGCGTCGGCCCGCGCGCCTCTGGGTTGCGCAGCTGGGCCCGGACGGGGTTGAAACACTTTTCGGGCAAATGAGGCCCTCACCCGGGTTGTAGCCACCACTCGCCCTCGGTGGAATTCCAGGGCAGCGACTGAGTAGCTGAGGCCTAGCGAAGGCTGCAAACGTCTTGAATTTAAACGTTAAAGGGTGAATTAAAATGCTAATTACCGCGTATTTGAAGAATTCGAAACGGTGACTGGCTTCTGAGTTGCAAATTGGATTTACCGAGCTTTAGAGCGGTGAATAGTGGAGTGGGGGCTCTGGGGTGTTATTTTTAACCATATAAGGGCGGGAAGGGGGAGTGCAGGGAGGGGGCAGCACTCGAAGCATTCGGAGAAATTTAGTTATCAAGAAACTACCTGGAGGCCTGAGCGCTTGGGCGCTCTTGTTTGTGTACTTTGTACTCGCGGCTCGGAAACATTTAGGGGAAGGTATATCGTTTTAGAAAAGTGAAGGAGTTCATAAATTCGAGAATAACACTAAAGTACTTTTTGTGATCAACAACCGCCCTAAGTCCTCCACTGCGTGGTCCCTGCTCCTTTGCTGCAGGGAAGCACGACCCAAGCGCGGGAGAACCAGAGGAGGAAGGGCGGCCGTGGATGCGCGGGGCGGGGGGGGGGGGCGCAGCGGTTCGCCTGGACGATGAAGCGGCTGGGTCTCCACGGGCAGCACTCACAGTGTCTCCTCGCTTCCAGGGCGCGCCCTACGACGCGCACACGACTGGGATGACCGGCGCCATCAGCTACCACCCATATGGCAGCGCGGCCTACCCGTACCAGCTCAACGACCCGGCATACCGCAAGAACGCCACGCGGGACGCCACAGCGACGCTCAAGGCCTGGCTGAACGAGCACCGCAAGAACCCGTACCCCACCAAGGGCGAGAAGATCATGCTGGCCATCATCACCAAGATGACCCTCACGCAGGTCTCCACCTGGTTCGCCAACGCGCGCCGGCGCCTCAAGAAGGAGAACAAGATGACGTGGGCCCCGAGGAACAAAAGCGAGGACGAGGATGAGGATGAGGGCGACGCTGCTAGGAGCAAGGAGGAGAGTCCCGAGAAGGTGCAGGAGGGCACGGAGACCTCTGCCGAGGACGAAGGTGAGCTGGGCCGCGGCGGGCGCGAGGTCTTAGGGAACTTTCTTCCCAGGCGGGGCGCAGTGCGAGGTCTGGTAGGATGCCTCCCTCGTGAAACCCCAAATCCTGGCCCGGAAAGCGGCGGCCTAACACTGCTTGGCCCGCGAATTCGGCCTAGGGATTCCTCCGGGCACTTAGGGGAGGTCAGAGTCCCCTTCACACGTGGCTGCGGTTGGGGCTAGGTGAGGGATCCCAGGGGTGGGGTGATGTTCTGGCTGCCTGCACTGTCCCTGCGAGTCACCCACTGTGCCCGCGCCTGGCAGGGATCAGCCTGCACGTCGACTCGCTCACGGATCACTCGTGCTCAGCCGAGTCAGATGGAGAGAAACTGCCGTGCCGTCCCGGGGACCCCCTGTGCGAGTCCGGCTCGGAGTGCAAGGACAAGTACGACGATCTGGAGGACGACGAAGATGAGGAGGACGAGTGTGAGCGGGACCTGGCGCCGCCCAAGCCTGTGACCTCGTCCCCACTTACAGGCGTGGAGGCGCCGCTGCTGAGCCCTCCGCCCGATGCCGCGCCCCGCAGCGGCGGCGGCAAGACGCCCCTGGGCAGCCGGACGTCACCTGGTGCACAGCCACCCACCAGCAAGCCCAAGCTGTGGTCGCTGGCCGAGATCGCCACATCGGACCTCAAGCAAACGAGCCTGGGCCCGGGCTGCGGGCCACCGGGACTGCCAGCGGCTGCGGCACCCGCCTCCTCGGGCGCACCTCCGGGCGGTTCTCCCTACCCCGCTTCGCCGCTGCTCGGCCGCCACCTCTACTATACGACGCCCTTCTATGGCAGCTACACAAACTACGGGAACTTGAACGCAGCGCTGCAGGGCCAGGGCCTCCTGCGGTACAATGCGGCGGCCACGGCCCCCGGCGAGACTCTGCACGCAGCGCCTAAGGCGGCCAGCGACGCGGGCAAGGCGGGCGCGCACCCACTGGAGCAGCACTACCGGACCCCCGGCGGCGGCTACGAGCCCAAGAAAGGTAGGCTGCCCGACGCCCTCTGGGTGCTGAGGAAGGGACCCTGGTTAGCTAGAACTGCCCAGAATCCTGGGGAAAGGGCGGGGGGAGTCCACCACTTAACAGTTCTGGAAGTGGGTGCCTCTTACAGGAGTAAAGCAAGAAGGTTGAGCTACTCTTTGGAATTAGGGAAAGACGGTGGGGGTGGAGCGTTGAGAGTGAAAGGAAGAGGGCTGGGCCTTCCCTCCAGAGCTACCCTGTGATTATTTACTCTTTATTTAATTTACTATTAATATTATCATCATGACCGTTTTAGTTTTGGCAAATACTTACTGCCTTAAAATGCAAATTACAGCTTGTCTCCCTGCTGACTAAGCTTAAGCTTGGGTGTGTTGGTGAGTGCTACTGGTTAAGTAGGGTCTCCGCCGAATCCCCTTCCCTGCCTTTGGATAAAGGGAAAAGAAAAGTTCTCAGTTCTCTCAGAGGCCCAATTTCTTCAATTTAGAAAATGAAAACATTCCCCTTTCTTCTCCCATTTCCATATTGCCTCAGTTGCTCATAATTCAGGCAACCTGAGAAAGGAGGTCCAAAGGAAAGAAAGCAAGGGGAACATAGTGAAGTAGCCAACATCTGTCTCAGTGGCCATGAAGGCCGGGTCTGACCGCCCTGTGCGGGCCTGGATGCCAGGCTGGAGGGTCTGGAAGGTGCGTGGCTAGGCGATCCTATGGATGGTGGGGCTAGGTTCTCACTAACTGCCCTCCCCTGACAGATGCCAGCGAGGGCTGCACGGTGGTTGGCGCAGGCGTCCAGCCCTACCTATAGAAGGGCCAGCTCAGCAGTGCAAAGTAAGTGGGCATCCCCTTGCTTCTCTGACCCCCTGGGGAGCCTCCCAGCCCCAACTGGTTGTATGATCCCTTAATATGTTTTCTTGCTTCTTGTCATGGGGTCAGAGCAGTGCAGGCTTCTGGGTCTTTTTTCCTTTAAGAGGGAATCCTCATTCTGCTTCACGAGTTTCTTCTTTTCTGCTCCATTTCTGTTTTGAAGAATCAGTCCTTTATTTGGAATTTGAATATGTGTGTGTGTTTGTGTGTGTGTGTGTGTGTGTATTCCAAGCATCAGTATTTATATTCCAAGTGTCAGTAAGGCTGTTGCTTTTCCTGAAAAATAGACAATTAAATTTGGGCATCTGTATGTCTGGTTGAAACAGTTTCTTTCTTTTTTTTTCTTTTCTTTCTTTCTTTTTTTTATTTACTATGATAGACACACAATGAACACCTATTCTGATGAATGATTGCTACTGAAATTAAACTCAAAATACTGTTGTAGATGTTGGTTGCACAGTAAGATTGAAGAGACTTGCTAGTCTTTTCCCAGGCCTGCCTTACCCTGTGTCCAAATGCCTGGACTGCAGTTCTCTCAGAATCTTTAAAATTATGTTACTTTACAACTAGGCAAAATGACTAATCACAGATCTGAAGATGGGAAAGAGGTGGATCCGTTTCAAATAGACTCATTTTTTCCAATGTGATAGTGTTGGTGTGGAACTGAAGGATTTGGGATGATTTGGTTTTTTCCTTGGTCCACAGGTAGGTGTCACAATTGCTTTGGAAAAAAAAAAAAAAAGTCAGCAGGCCATTCTCTCTTCCCAAGCTCATAAATATACAGATACAAAAAAAAAAAAAAAAAAAAAAAAAAACAGATCTGTAAATCTGGACCACATCTTGTGCCACTGTAAAGAGAAGGATCCACACAGCACTTGAACCCACAGACTCTGACGATTGGAACACACTGTTGGATGTATGTGAATTTGTTGGCATAGTATAGTTTCCCCGATGTACGTGTGACTTTTGAAAACAATCTGTTCTTTTCTCAGGATATCTCAAATTGATCATTCATTGCCACGGTATATATTCTATAGGTGTGATAGGATTTACTGTAAAATTTATTTGTAAAAGATGTACACAGTAGAAATAAAACGTGATTGAAGAACTTGAGTACTTCAGAAGTGGAAACAAATTTGATATTTATTTTTATAATGATATAAAGCTTCTAGTAATTTATGCAAGTTGTATTGCAATGAAATCTAAACTTTTTGTAAATAAATTCTGCCTGGTTTTTATTTGAACATTGCTGGTTATACAATCTTTGTTGGTTGTTTAACACAAATTCTTTACTAATTTATATCTTTAATTGTAAATAAAGACAGACTAGTCTACAATAATATGGTGTTTGGGGCTCATTTTTCCTGAAGAGTGATTTGGGTTGGAGCCCTAGGGATAGTAGCCTCCAGGTGATCTGAGCTCACCTTTTTAATGAAAAGCTGTGTGACATAAACTCTCCTTTCTCAAGAGCATTAAAAAAAAAAAAAAGGCAGATGTGAGAGAACTGCACAATAGGGCGATATATATGCTTCTAGACTATTTATGTACAAATGTATTGCAAGATCATAAGATTTTTGTTTTCTGAATATGCAAATTCTTTGTTAGTGTAAATTTCTAAAACTTGGAAAAATAAAATGATCTGACACTCCTATGCATTTTACATTTATTTGTGATGCTGGCTTATTAAACCTCCTCAGCAAACTAAACTAGAAGAGAGTAATAATATTGATAATGGAGAATTACACTTCCCACAAGAAATTACTGATGGAAAATGTTGTGTTTTTTTAAGCCCAAATTATCCAAATTGGCATAGATTATTCAGATTTCCTGAATGACTTTTAACTCTGATTTTCACATCATTCCCCTCAACACCAGGGGCAGGTCTGGGGCAGGGATCTAGTTCCCTTTTGGTGGTACTTACTCTTATCCTGAGGGAAAAGGAAAGTTTAAACAGCTTTAGACTATTGTCTCCTTATTGCCTTACTCACTCCCTCATTACAGGACAAGCCTAACATTTGCAGTCAAGTAACGCATCCCCTTTGATTAGGATCATAAAAGCAGCGACCCTGTCACTTTAATTTTCAGCAAAATTATGTGGATATCCATATAATATAATTTCAGAAAAGAAATGAGCAATCATTTATTTCCTCTCCAAAGATAAATCGAGTGAATATAACTTACGGTTATAAAACAAGAATAATGGCTTCTTAGATTGCCCTTTAATCAATCATACACTTATTTTTCAAGCGGTTCACCTATTCTATTCCGTGATTAATAATGGTGCAGCTCGAGAGTGTTATTGGATCCCAGCGGGGGAGGTCTCGGGTGCATTTAGCTGCTTTGGAATGGTCAGTTGGGGTTCATTATGGGCTGAGATTGAACGATTTATAAAATCTTGTCTAAACATCTGCCAGCTCCGATAGGCGATGTGTCTGAGGATGGGAAATTGCTGGACCAGTTGATATTGACAAACGGATCTCTCTCCAGTGGCTTTTTGTGCCATAGAAATTAGTGGCCTCTTGCTGGGGTCTCGTTAGAAAGGGTATTTGAAAGTAATCTTAGGTACTTGAGCAAAGCCAGGGGACTGTTAGCCTGACACAGCCATTTGGATGGGGGGGGGGGGGGTGGTAGGGGGTTGACCGTGAAGAAGAGAGGGAGGTGAAGGTTCCCTCTTCCAGGACTGCTTGTGCATTTCGTGGGTTTTAAATACACAGGCGTTCAGAGGCCAGGCACTTTTTTTTCTCTCTTCCTTCCTCTCCAGTAATAGAAATAGAAATGTTTGGAGCTGAGCTACCTATTGGCAAGAAGAAAGACAGGACCCATGTCACCTGTGTAGTGATGGGAAGCAAATAAATGAGAGGTCTGGGAAAGTAGGACGGAGCTTTGAGTGCGTTTTCTGGTTTGGGTTTCAGACATAAAACCTTCATAGAATTTCCATGAAAATAATGATGTTCCCCTCCAGGAAGGTATTAAGTAGTTTATTAATGTTAGTCATATTTCTGAAATCAGCAGGGAATAAAATAGACATGGCAGCCATATTTCTATTATATGTAACATTATAATGTGTTCGGAGGGCTTCAGTGAAAAATGTGAGTTAGCAATATTTACAGACTAAACACCTGAATATCAACTCTAATGAAGACACAATATTTAAGGCAGTGCATTCATCTCTTGAAGAAAGGTGGAGGATGGGGACAGAAACCCCAAGCCACAACTGATCTTCCTGCAGTGATTCAGAAACTCAGGCCTGGGTAAGAGCTACCTCCTGTGAGGGAGCAGGGTGGTGTTTTACCTGGACACAGACTCCCTGGTTCCTTTCCCTACACAATTGTGTCAGACCCCCAATCTTGGAGAAAACATGCACATTTCGACTGGTGAAAACTCAAAGCGGCTCAGGAGATTAGCCAAGGCTAATGAAGCTTCTTTGATGTTTATATGCCCAACAAATTATCCAAGATTTCCATAACTTACCCACCCTGCCTCCTGACCTGAATTTCTTTCTGAAGAACTTGATTTTTAAATATACACTAGCAACATGAAACCCGCAGGTGTTTAGATGAATCTTTTAAAAGAAATACAGTGACTTAAGAACTCTTCTCCATGCAGGTCATTGGAAAAGATGTGAGAGACCTTTCATTGGGGAAGGAAGAGGATAGGGTCTGAATTTAATTTTTGCTGTTAAAACTTGTTAATCAAAATATAACGTACAGACCCAAACAAAACTTTGCAGCTGCCCCCTGAGATGGGGGGATAGCAAGCAACCCCGTTGGCTAGAGTGAGGAGGGCTTTGGGGCGACGGCAGAGTCGTGGGTGCAGGCCTGGGCGCACCCCCCCGCCCCGCCCTGCGCACCACAGCCCCTCTGCCCTCCTCGGCCCAGTGTTTCATTAAAGCTGATTTATCGGAATTCGCGCCTTAATCTCAGGTGGGCCCCAGGGGCCGGGCTCTGCCGAGAGAACTAGGGGCGCTTGCCCGGCGGCCGGCGCGGGCGCTGGCTGCCTCCCGCGCCCGTCAAATGTCAACATTTGTTCCCAATAAAAGAGTTATTGTTTCTGCAAAGCTGCCCAGCAACTGCCTTTGAAACTTGAAAAGAACTTCATCTACCTTTGTCTAGTGCGAGGCGGGAGGGGTGGAGAGCGAGGGAGAGGAAGGGGAGGGCGTGAGGGGGTAGTGCAAGGCTTGGCTCCGCGCAGCCTGGAGTCTTGGGGGCGCCTCCTCTCCACCCCTGCCGGACCACCGCAGCGGTTCATTCTGGAGGTTGGAGAGTGGCGGGGTATTCTGCGAGAGGCGTTCTTCAGTGCGCGTGTTTATCAGATATCTGCAATCCGGGATGTTCCAACTGCGAGAAAAACACAGGGATAGAGAAGCTGCCCTCCAATGTGCTGCGCCTTTTAAGGTCAAGTACAGTTGCATTTAAATATTTATTGAAGAGGCTGAAAGTGAAGCATACCCTTTCTCCCCAATGTTCCAGAATAAGTTCATGCTGAACTACCACTGTTAGAGCAGACATGAATTTGAGAACAATCATTTCATTTTTGACCCAAGCAGAAGCCTTTCTGAATTTAAATAACACTCGGAATTACTAGAAAGTTTCCTCCAAGTAACAGCATACAATAATTGTCACCATATAATTTTGCGCAGTTACCTAGTATATTGCAACCCCCAGGGAAACATGCAGTTAAACCCTAAATTGAAGGTATAAATACATCTATTAGATATAGTTTTAAAACCACTTTTACAAAAATAATGTTTCAATATTAAAAAAAAAAAAATGTTAACCCAAAAGGTGATCTCGGGAACAATACAGAACCGTCTGATATATGGATATTGTGATTAACATCATTTGAATTTCTACAAATCACAAGGGGGACATGTCCCTTTGATGTATTTTCAAACCTTTATGCAAGTGACAAATCCCTACAGATATTTTAAAGGCTTATTTT